CCAGAACCCTGAGATCATGACCTGAGCTAAAGGCAGATGCTTAACCAACTGCACGACCCAGATGCCTTCAAAACTGTAATTTGAATGCTACCACATATGGAGCTTATTCGGTAACTTAAGCTGTGCTGAGATATTAATGTTATCTAAGGCTTTTAATATCTGAAGCATCCAAGCTTACTGTGTACCATACTCCTTATCCCTATTGTTGTATGAGCTCAGTGTAGACACAAAGCATCTGTAATGAAATATCACTACATAATACATAATAGCAGCATGCAACACAATACAGGGGTGCACAAACAACTCAGCAATGTACAAGAGCATGTGCACACAGAAAGGCCATACCATATGGTAAAGCAGCCCACAGCTCTGAAGATTTTAGCAAGTGAGAAAGGTTAACAGGCACCCCAGGCAGAAGGCTTGTGCAAAACCATGAGGGTGGAAGGTACAGAAAGAAAGTTGGGGCTAGAGATGCAGAGCTATGCAAATTTGGGGAGTGGTGGGAGAGAGGGGACTGGAATGGCAAACCAGAGTGAGACTGTATATGCTTCTGAATGTCAGATCACTCTGCGGGCAGTAGGCTCCACTTCTACTGTAAGGCAAGTCTAAGCAAGGAATTCAACCCAACATGATTCTACCAAACTGGTGAATAACACCTGAGCCTGAACTGAAAGACCCACATTTCCCTCAGCCCAGCTCACACACTCCCAAGAGCAGATAAAAGCTGATCCCATTGGAGAAAGATTCTATCAGATGGAGAATGCTATTCATTACATCCAACGCTTTGTCAGACTGAGCTAAGAAGGAAGGTAATTAATGGAGCCATCTTCCTGTAATACTAAATAACATTCCCCAATGCTATGACATTACATTTTCCCATGTCTTTGCCTATCTCTCATGAATACATTTCTTTTACCTGCTCCCTCACAGGAGATACTACTCAAAGTTTAGAACTTACTCTCATTTGTCTCTATATTCTCTAACTCAGATTCAACCATCAAATCTTTATTTCCAACTTTAACCTAAATCAATCCCTATCATTGTGTTGTCCACATGCCCCTACCAAGTATTTGAAAAGAGGCTAGTCTGAACTGAGAGGTATATACGTAAAATACACAAGTAAAATATCTTTGTAATTTTATACTGATTATGGTAGTATTGCAGTTACATTTTTATTGAAGTCTGTTTTAGATATATTGGGGTAAATAAAATAATTATTAAAATTTATTTCAACCTGTTTCTTTTTACTTTAATGGGCCCTCTAGAAAATTTTAAACTATATATGTGGCTCACATTATATTTCTACTGGATAGCATATCTACTAAAGCTGCCCCTCACACACAGCAAACTTAAAACTGGATCCATCACTAACAAAATCTATGACCTCTCTATGCCTCGGTTTCTTCATCTATAATGGGGAAATACTAATTGGAATAAAGAGATTAACTGTAAAAATAAATAAATGAATAAATAAATAAGAACCACACAATACTTACCATATGCCAGACACTGTTCTACGTATTTTTCATATGTTAGCTTCTTTAAATCTTCCCAATACCCCAGTAAGACTAGCACTTCCATTTTACATAGGAACAAACAAGCACAGAGAAATTAAATGACTAGCCAAAGATTACAAGGTTAGTAAATAGTGGAGCCCAGATCTGAGCACAGGCAGCATTAAATGACTATCTCTCATAACATCTACTTCAGAAATATCACAAAAACCAAGTTAATTTAGGTGAAACATTTCAACCTGTACCTGACACACAGTAAACTCCTTCAGTGTTTAACTATTATCACCACGTTCCCAGTCCCCAACGTACTTTTCCACATTTCTCAGCATGTCCCCACCTTTCTCTCCATTTCCCAGGTTAAAACCTCAGAATCAACTTTTAACCCGCCTCCCTCTTTTATCCCCTAATTTTAGTCAGCTACTTCTTACTCTTCTTTGAATGTTTTTAATGTACCTATTCCACTATTCCCACTTTATACCACTTTAGCCTAACCTTGTACTCTCACACTAGGTGAATACCAAAAATAACTTAAATAGTGCTCATGTATGCTTCAAATCTACTAATTCATTTAAACCTCACTATAACCCTGTCTTTTCTCCAGGATTTCCACATCTGGGCTCTAGCAAGATCTAATGTTCTCAGTAGACCAGTCTTCATGGAAATCCAATTTTGTCATGTGATGGAAAATTTAAAGGTGTATGGGTTCTTTACACCAGCTGACTTAAGTATGTGAAAAAGAAATACGATGAATGTTCTCTATTGGGGAAAAAAAGACTTAGAAGGCCCATAAAATTAAAAATTCTAGTCTCTTCAAAAATCTCCCATGGAGGGACACCTGGGTGGCTCAGTGGTTGAGCATCTGCCTTCAGCTCAGGTCGTGATCCCAGGTCCTGGGATGGAGTGCCACATCGGGCTCCCCGCAGGGATGCTCTCCTTCTGCCTACGTCTCAGCATCTCTCTGTCTCTCTCAAATAAATAAATAAAATCTTTTAAAAAATAAAAATAAAAAATAAAAATCTCCCATGGAATTAAGTCTTAATTCAGCAGCCAAACATTAACAACTGCCCAATCTAGTCCCACCCTACCCAAACGTATCTCCACTCCTCAATAAAAATTCTCCAGAGTAGGGGCACCTGGGTGGCTCTGGTCAATTAAGCATTCAGCTCTTGGATTCTGCATAGGTCATGATCTTATGGGTCTTGAGATCCAGCCCTGCAGCAGGCTCTATGCTCATCAGGAAGTCTGCTGGAAGATTCTCTCCCTCTGCCCCTCCTCCCAAACTTCTCCTGCATGCTCTCTAGAGCTCTCTCTCAAATAAATAAATAAAAATCTTTTTTTTTTAATTCTCCAGATTAGATAAATAGATTTTTTTATTGTCCCTGGAGTAAAAAATATTAATTCTTATCCTCAACCCTTAATCATTCATTGCCTCTCTGCCTCACAAATTTAAGCACATTTCTCCATAAACCTCCCCAAACACCCAGAATAAACTAATCTCTCCTCTAATTTATGATAAAACACGCCTTATACCACTCACTGTGGTCTGATATACTCAGTACCCGGCAAATGGCACTAACAAGCGCAACCAGGCCATGAGCAATTGGAAGGTAAGGACGGAATCCCTAACTTTTTACCTTCTCCATGAGCAGCACAGGTCTCTACAGAGCACACATGCACATACCTATTTGGCAAATAGTTAATAAATAAATTAGGGATGGTGTAACTGAAATTACCTGTAAATGCTCTTAAATTTAGCCAACTTTATTTCCCTAACTAAAAAAATACTTCAAGGTACAGGAGCAACACTAAGTAACATGGTAATGGTTTCAGCGCATCTTCAAATTCATTATCTTTGCTCCTCAAAACAGCCCAGTGCAGTGCACACTATTACACCCTTGTTAAGTGGGCTACGGTTCAAAGAAATATTTTTTCTCAAGAGCCCTCAGCTACTAAATGGCAAAGCTGGGACCACAGACCAGGCCAGTAGTCCAGTGCTCTTTCCAATGTTGGAATTCACCTTTTATCTCCTTTTTCTCCTTATCACATAAGGTCGAATAACTAAAAGGAGAAAGGAATCAGATGAAAATCCTTGGTAACAAGATACGGTAAATTCACGACTTCAAATGAATTATCTGCCTGAGATGGCTTTTTTTTTTTTTCTTTGACTCATCGAGCGCAATGATGACCTGCAAGGCTGCCTTTAAAATTAAACCTCATCATCGTACTGTATTGTGAAATAAAAAACTATCTAAACCAGTGCCTTTCCTGACTCCCAAGTCCGACACCGCCTTCCCGTCCCCCTCCCCCACTGCCATCTACTCTATACTTACAAAATCTTAAGGCTGTTTCTCATCAAAGAATTAAGGAAGGAAGCAACCTTCTGAGGACACAGCACTTGACCATCAAATCCAACGGGCGGTCCTTGCTAGACGTTATAACCCACTGCTCTTTCCATACCTTGCTGTCTCCAGAAATCAAGTCCTTTAAAACTCCATGTTATTTGTTAGACATTCCTATTTAATACCGAGTCACAAAGAACCTCAGTGCAGAGCAGTCTCGATTCATGAATGGCCACATTGTTGGGTACTCTCCCTTCACACTGAAACTCAGAAATAAATGGAAAGACGTGGCGATGGATCCAACCCTGGGCTAACCGCACTGGCAGAGCCAAGAGAAACCAGAACGCGCCGAACGCGCCGAACGCGCCCGCCTTCGCCTCCTCCGCAGACCTTCAGGCCGATCCAGGGGATGCGCGCAGCATCCCCCGGCCGGGCTGCACGCCTCGGCAGCCGCCAGCTCACTCCCCAGATTTCCCTCCCGGTCTCTTCTGAGCCGAGGCGCTGGGGAAGGGTGCCTTCTTCCCCCTGACGGTGGGTCGGACCGCACACTGCACCCAGCCCGAGACCCCCGCCGCGCCAGCCAGTCTGGCACCCCCGCCCCCCCCCCCAAACCCAGCTGGGAGGCGCCGCGGCCTCGGGTACCATCCCCGAGCCCCAGGGAGGATGCAGAGGAGGCGGGAGGAAAGCAGTGGCCCCGGACGAGCCTCCTCCGCTCCTGCTCCTCTACCCCGACTCACCCAGTTCTGCGCATTATTATTGCTCAGCTTGACTTTCTTGCACAGGCTCCCGGGGACCTCCATAGCCGCAGAGCGCGCTCGGGGGCCGGGAGCCTCCGCGCCCACAGGTTAGTTAGCTCGCGGAGAGGCCGGCGGGGGCGGGGGCGGGGCCGGGCTGGAGGGCGGGGCCTCCCCCGCGCTCGGGTCGGCGCGCGCTGACGTACGCACGCACGCGCTCGCGCTCGTGCCTCCTCCTGCGTGGCGCGTCGCGGGCGCCTCCGCAATGGGGCTGGAGCCGAGAGGTACGTGTGAGGAGGGGCGAAGCGGCGGGCGCGAACCTTAGGGCGGGGTGGGGGGGCGGGGCCTTGGCGCTCGCGTCCGGGCGAGCGCGCGCGACGCTCCTCCCCCTGGATTCTGAGGAAGGGGCGGGGCCGAGAGAGGTCGTCGTGGAAGTCTCCTGGCTTCTCCCCTGCGGGCGCCGCAGGCCTCTCAGGGTAAGGGCCGTACCTGGCTCCCGGCTCCCGGCTCCCGGCTCCCGGCTCCCGGTCCCAGCGGGCTTGGCTCCCCGCCGCTCACGCCGGCTGGGAGAAGGCGTTGAGGTGGCCTCCTGCCCCTCTGGCTTCTCCTCCCTGAGCCTGGCCCCCAGGCTGCTGTCTGCCCAGTCTGTATCCCTGGCGCCCTGGCCACATTCAAAACGGGAAGAACTGTTGTACCAGACAATTCATTCTCCACAGGTTCCGTTTGGTGGCTTTAAAATTCTGCTCAGCGCCCAACTTCAAAAAACAGCCAATGACCCATCCTTAGTCATCAGTAATTAATGTCTCGACTGGGATGAGTTGGTTATCTATCTGCAAGGAGCCTTGCACCCTGGAGACCTCTCTTCATACCCGGAGGTATTCTGTCCAGTAATTCTCTCAGGTAGGCTCAAAGGATCCCCCGTGTTATTAGCTTTTCCGTAAATTCTTAGGGGACTGAAATCTAGGCTTAGGGAGGGCTGCTGGTCACCACACGGTAGAATGCCCACCTATGCAGAACATTCTCAAATCCACCTAATTATCACAGGGCTAGTTCATAGGAAAATGGGCTGGGGTGGGGGGGAGCATCCTCCACGAGTTCTCGCCCCCCTCCCATTACGCGAAGGGTTTTCCACAGCTTACCCGTGGCTCAGAAATAGGTGATTGAATCTCTGCTCCTCCTTAACCCAGTTTTTTCCACCTCACACCACACGCACACCATCTTCAATCACTAAGACCTAAAAGCCATTGCTTTCTTTAATAACTAGCAAATCACCAAATCAATAAATAACTATTTATTTCCCCTACTGTTAGTGTCTTTTATTAGGCCTTCCCCATATCCAAGATGAATCACAACCAATCCCCTTAACTAGGCATCCTCCCACCTGTGCAACTGCTGCCCACACCTCTGTCATACACTCCATTACTAAAATAGAAATCTGACCTTGTTTACTTGACCATGTAGAATGCCAGTAGTTCCCTATAGCTTTTCCTAGGGAATGTTTAAGTTGAAGTCTGCATGTAGTACTGAATTTCAGTATACTTCTCAATTTTGCCAGTGACAGGAATGAACTTGGAAGTTCAAATGAGAACACAGCACCACATTTGGAATCAGCTGTCTCTCCAAGAAGTCCTCAGAAATGGTATTCAGAGGGAAATGATATAAAGAAATCACAATCTGGGCTTCTAGTTGTGTTCATTGCTTCTCAGTCCACATTTCTGAGCTTTTCCAATGAAAGACATTTTTAGGGTCAAAATACATCATGAGTTTGCATTGATACTTTCAGTTCAAAATCATGATTCCAGGCATCAGCAACCAAAAACAAGGAAATTACCAAAAAAGACTATAATTAAACAAACAAGAACAACAAAAACCACAGGATTATGTCGAAAGAACTCAGAAGCCAACTTCAAGAAGTTTTCTCGTGTCAAAGATGGCACAATTAGATTAGAGCTCTAAAGGGATAATAACTATAAGGTATTAAAATATGTTTAAATGTAGATGTTGATATTGATGATGATTAAAAGAGAACTCATTGTCATCCTTGGAGGATGCTAAGGAACCAACTCATTTTGAAAATATAAATAAAAGGAAAGAATTAAACATTTACCCCGCTTTCTCTGCATTATCTGTAAGTCAGATAATGAAAAAATTGATGAGGGGGCCCTTGGGTGGCACAGTTTTCAGCTCAGGTCATGATCTCAGGGTTTTGAGATCAAGCCCCATGTCCGGCTCTGTGCTGAGCACAGTCACTTGAAATTCTCTCTCCCTCTCCCTCTGCCCCTCCTGCTTGTGCTCTCATTTTCTCTCTCTCTCTCTCTCAAATAAATAAATAAATCTTTTTTAAAAAATGGATAAGAAGGGAGTGCCTGGGTGGCTCAGTCGTTAAAACATTTGTTTTCAGCTCAGGTTATGATCTGGAGTCCTGGGATGGAGCCCCGCATTAGGCTCTCTGCTCAGTGGGGAGCCTGCTTCTCCCTCTATTCCTCCCTCTTGCTCTGCTCTCTCTCTCTCTCTCTCTCTCTCAAATAAATAAAATCTTTTTAAAAATCGATGAGAAGCTTTCCTTGTAGAAATATAGTTAATAAATAAAGAAGGAAAGATTATAATATCGCCATCTTTACCTTCTAATGAAATAATGGATAAAGACAATGATGCTCATGGCTGCTAACATCATGGAAATAAAGAACATCAGAACTTTTTTGCCTCCTCATGATTTTCTGCCTCCTGTAGTATTAATGCCCCTCACAATCACCTGATTCTAACCAAGCTTTCAGGTCTAATTGCCAGCTTATAGTTAATGCAGAGAAAAGGGGAAGATGTAAAATCACCATATATGCAAGTAGCCAAATTCAAATTGTGGAAAAGCCTACATCATAGTGAACTGATTCTTAAATAATTCAATTAAAGGGGGAAAAAAAACTAATGAAGAACTAAAGATTAAAAGAAAACTTAAGAGAACTATTCGACAATTGAAATATATGGAAATTTAACCACTGACTTGCATAGAGAATTTTTTTTTCACATGGAGAATTTTTAATGTATATAGCAAGGATTTTGAAGAGTCCCTGGATTCTTGATATTAAAAGCTGACAATTTTTTGGTAATAATAGCTCTAAACATAGATAGCTCTAAAATTAGAGCTACATATTGAAAGATGTGTCAGTGAAATGGCAATGCCATAAGTATTCAGAACTAAAATGAGGCTCTTGGAAATTAAAAGCAAGATAGCAGGAGTGGAAGAAAAGGTGAAGGTATCTCCCAGAATGCAGAGCAAAAAATTCCCCAAAATAGAAGTGGAATTTTTAAAGAAAAAACAGTCCAGGAAACCCAACATCCAAATATTAGGAATTCCAAAAGAGAAAAATCGCAGGAGGAAATAACCAAGGAAATTATTCAAGAAAATTTCCTAGAAGTGAAGGACTTGAGTCTCTCCCCAAATGTCCAGCTCAGCACATAAAAATTGAACATACAAAACATAGCACTGTTGTTTGGAAATCCTACAAGCTTCCAAGGAGGAGATTTCAAAAGCAAAGAATCAGGAATGAAAATAAATTGAGGGTACCAAGAAAAACACTGAGAGCTAGAAGGGAAATAGAACAATGTCTTTAGAGTTCCAAAAGAATTTCCAACCTGAAATTTGGAGTTACATACACCCTTTCTCAAGAAATTATTGGAGGATATGCTCCACTTAAATGGAAAAAGGAAGACATGGCATTTAGAAAACAGGAGTTTCCACAGAGGAGACAGATGAAAAGGAATTCCCAGGTTGATGGTGAAGGAAGATCTAGGGATGACTACCATGTACTGGGTCTGGAGGATACTCAATCAGAAGGGTCTCCAAGAAGTCAGAAGGCCCTTGGAGAGCCTTGTTTAGGAAGACAAAATTAATAGAGCATCTGATAGAAATGACCATACTGAAAATGATTCAGGCAACTGAAACGGAGTTTGAGGTTATATTAGTCATAACTATTTAGAAAAGTAAGTCATCAAAAAGGACACATTTATCACACCCTTTCCAAACAAACTATATCTCCGGGTAATCAAATAGTTGATGAAGAATAGTTCATACTGATAAAATTTTAACTAATAAATGCAGAAGGATTGTTGGAACTTAAAAATTACCATTTTTGATGGGTAGCAAGGAAGGCACTTGTTTTGATGAGCCCTGGCTATTGCAGGTAAGTGATGAATCATGAATTCTACTCCAGAAACCAATATTGCACTGTATGTTAACCTAAAATTTAAATTAAAGAGAAAGGAAAGAAGGAAGGAAAAGGAAAGGAAAGGAAAGGAAAGGAAAGAAAAATCACCATTTTAGGGGCATCTGGGTGGCTCAGTGGTTGAGCATCTGCCTTTGGCTCAGGTCATGATCCCAGGGTCCTGGGATCAAATCCCACATCAGGCTCCCCATAGAGAGCCTGCTTCTCCCTCTGCCTATGTCTCTGCCTCTGTGTGTCTCATGAATAAATAAAACAAATCTTTTAAAAAAATGAATAAATAAAAATCACTATTTTAAACACCTGATGAGGTAATTAATATAGGCAATAATCATTAATGTCTGCTGAAAGTATTAGGTGAAAGATAGTGTGATGGTTAATTTTATGTATCAACCTGAATGGCTCACAGAGAGCCCAGATATTTGGTTAAACATTATACTGGGTGAGTCTGTGAGAGTTTTGCTGGATGAGATTAACATTTGAATCAATAGACTAAGTAAATTACTCTCTAAAGTGGGTACGCCTCATCCAATCATTCAAAGGCATGATTAGAACAAAAAGATGACTCTTCTGCAAGTAAGAGGGGACTCCTGCCTTACTTTTTTGAGCTGAGACATTGGTCTTTTCCTGCCTTCAGACTTGAACTGAAACATTGGCTCTTTGATCTCAAGCCTGCTATCTTTCAGACTGGAACTTATGCCATCAGCTCTTCTGACTCTCAGGCTTTGGAACTTGGAGTGAAACTACCATCAGCCCTTCTCCAGCTTGCTGACTGCGGATCTTGAGACTTCTCAGCCTCCATGATCACGTGAGCCAGTTCCTTATAATAAATCTCCATCTATATATGGTTCTGTTTCTCTGGAAAACTCTAATAGAGGTAGGAAAGAGAATTTTACAATGGAGGGATGAGGCTGATACCACCTGTACCCACTTAGCGATTTTAGCATCTTCTAAAACTGGTATACCGGATATCATATACCTTAAATGTGATATAATGAGAAATCCTCAGCACTAATTGTCCTAATTTGTGTTGTTCAAGAAGTAGGGCATGGAAAGAATATGATTACAAGTCATTTATTTGGGAGGTGAGCCCAGGAAACACCATTAGTAAAGTGGGAACATGATACAGGAACATGAAGGAAGTCAATAAAGCAGCCATTGTAAGTAACTGGAGCTTAATCCCACTGAGTAACTCTGAGAAAGTGTTGAATATATGCTTCAAAACATATTATCTGAGAGGAGAGAGCTGGGATATTTATACCGCTCCTTTCAGTCATTATTCAAGGACTATTCCTAGGGAGTGGAGTGTTCTTTCCCTGGTAATTTTGGATTGCAATTCATACAAGTAGAGAGGGCACTGGTCCCAAAGAAAGCCTTCATGCGAAGAAATAGAGGTATATTCACAAGTGAAAGGATGATATGTTCCACAATAGTACGGGCTGAAAGGATATGCATGCAGCACCAGAAGTGTTTGCTATAACCTCTTATGAGTATTATTTAAAAAAAAAAAAAAGCAAGGATATATGTCTCTCTTCTTTTTTACATAAGAGGTTACTTATTTTTAAGAAGAGAACAATAAAGAACTCCACAAAGAGAACCACACACAAACACACACACACACACACACACACACACAAAGGAAAGAAAAAAAAAGAAACTATCTTCAGAGTAAAACTATCATGGTGGAAAGGAAGGATGTTTTCCTACATGGCTCAGGTCTTTTTAAAAAAAAAAAATTTTTTATTGGTGTTCAATTTGCCAACATATAGAATAACACCCAGTGTTCATTCCATCAAGTGCCCCCACTCAGTGCCCATCACCCAGTCACCCCCTCCCCCCGCCCACCTCCCCTTCTCCCACCCCTAGTTCGTTTCCCAGAGTTAGGAGTCTCTCATGTTCTGTCTCCCTTTCTGATATTTCCCACTCATTTTTTTCTCCTTTCCCCTTTATTCCCTGTCACTATTTTTTATATTCCCCAAATGAATGAGACCATATAATGTTTGTCCTTCTCCAATTGACATTTCACTCAGCATAATACCCTCCAGTTCCATCCACGTTGAAGCAAATGGTGGGCATTTGTCATTTCTAATGGCTGAGGAATATTCCATTGTATACATAAACCACATCTTCTTTATCCATTCATCTTTCGATGGACACCGAGGCTCCTTCCACAGTTTGGCTTTTGTGGACATTGCTGCTAGAAACATCGGGGTACAGGTGTCCTGGTGTTTCATTGCATCTGTATCTTTGGGGTAAATCCCCAGCAGTGCAATTGCTGGGTCGTAGGGCAGATCTATTTTTAACTCTTTGAGGAACCTCCACACAGTTTTCCAGAGTGGCTGCACCAGTTCACATTCCCACAACAGTGCAGGAGGGTTCCCTTTCTCCACATCCTCTCCAACATTTGTGGTTTCCTGCCTTGTTAATTTTCCCCATTCTCACTGGTGTGAGGTGGTATCTCATTATGGTTTTGATTTGTATTTCCCTGATGGCAAGTGATGCGGAGCATTTTCTCATGTGCTTGTTGGCATGGCTCAGCTCTAAATCACACATACTTGGTCATAGTAATATACACACATGTGTGATGGTGACAGAAGAAGAAAGAGAAATAAATCTTCATTTTCCAAGGTGAGAAACCCATAGATATTGCCTAAAGCTTAAAGACCAAAAGTAGCAATACACCTATTATTTTAAGATATGGAAATATGTACCAAAAGATTTACCTGAAAGACTTAAGAGTCGTTGCCTCTAGGGAAGGAAAATTGGGAGAGGAGATGAAGATGATGAGG